TTAAGTAGAAACCATATAAATATCATTCAGCTTCCAGCAAGCCTTGCTGCGGTTGGCAAGGGTAACAACCACAGTTCAGCTTGGAACAGCCAAGAGGAAGGATGTCAAAGGTGCAAGTGAATTAAGCGAGAAATTTTGAAGAAGGGGATAGAGGGCTTCACTGGACATTATTAGAGTACGGGCAAAAAGGAAGGACCTTCAGACAGCCTGAAGGACTATGCATAGTCCAAGTACATAGGAAAAGCCACTGACTGATGTGCCTTAGGCTGTGAGCAGGAAAGCTTTCCTGCTGTTAGATTTCATTTTTGCTAAGGGAATTTGGAATTTGTCCAGGCCTTTATAAATGAGCAAGGGTCTTCCAGCTAGAGACAGGATCAGGGATGGAACCATTGGGCTACATTTCTACTTTCCGAGCTGGCTATAGCAGTGACAGCTGGCAAAAAATTTTGCTATGGGTTGGACATTTATGATCTCAGATTTTATTAAAAAGTGATGGAAAATATCCTTTATAAAGCCTTGCTTGGGTCTTATTTAAGAATATCGAGGGAGTAGCTTCATAAATGAATTAGGGATTATGGTTCTTGGGAGTAGATTCATAAATGAATTAGGGATTATGGTTCTTTTTGCCTGTAAGCAGCTCCTTATGTCACTGAGTATAAGGGAAAGGAGGAGAAGACATGCTGATGTAACCTATCAAATATGTACCATCAAGTCTGCTTCTTACTTGCAGCCTGCTCCCATCTCTCTCCCCATTTTGCCTTCTGTCTTGTCTAGCATCCTCACATGGTTGCTTTGAGCAATACAGGTGCTTCCTTTAAAAAGAGACTGAAACTAGGTCCTGGAGCTCTTATACTGACCAAGGAACATAACTTTGTTTCCTACCTGCTCCATCTGGAGCGAAGGCTGGCATCTGAAATGCCAATGAATGTAGAGAACTTGGCAGACATTATGTGTATGGATGTACAACAGAATAATTATACACACCACACCAGAGCTCCACACATGCCAGGGATTACGCCTTTCTAATTCAAGGCCTGGACACTAAAGCCCAAGAGTCATTTGGTTGGGAAACGGGAGTAGGTTGTTACTTTTGAGAAACACAAGCAAGTCGAATTCCATCTGCGCTGCTGCCCCTGCACCACATGCATTATCTCACTAGATACGCACTCACACATCACCTACAGCAAACTGGCATTAGCTGCCTCACATCTGTGCAGCTGAAACGGCATCTGTAAAGTGCCCTGTACAAATGCGCTGTGGAATTTCCCTGTAGGAAAGCAGAAAATAGGCACTCTGAGGGCTCTTCTCTGTATAATGCGTTGCTGCTTGCAGGAGCAGGAATCTTTCCAGCCCTGTTTCTTCCCCCTGAAGCACTTACAACACGAGGGGCTGCTTTATCAGTGAGGAAAGAAATAAAGCTCTGAGCTTCTGGCTTTAGTCTCATGTGTATCCCCACCACCAAGTTTCCCCTTACATCCAGCTTCTCCTTTCACTGTGGCCTTGCACAGCCAGCCTTGGGACCTCTTAACCCACTGTGGACTGCCCCACATTGCTACCTTGCCCAAGTGCTTTACATATTTTTAAAAACATCATAACATTCTCCCAGTTCAAAACCCACTGAGTCAGTCTCAAAAAGAGAGAAATAAAGGAATTACCTGAAAACATAGTAAAGAAATGGAACTGCTGTTTCTGGTTGCCATCCATCATATTTTTAAGCATATAATTTGCATTATGGATAACAAAGCTCTTAGGAAGTTCTGGGTCTTGGAAGTCAGTCCTGAAATATCCTGCATAAAATTCAGGGCAGGGAGGAAGGAGCCAAAAGCTACAGACCTACTGAGAGAAATAAAACAGGCTACCGAGATAACAGAGAGTAGGGAAGACAGAAAAATAAGAGGCTCCTGAGGAAGCCCTGTTTTACTCCACATATATTTGGAAGACCTTTTTTTGCCTCCTTTTTAAAAACAGGCAAACTAGGTGCTGCAGGTGTGGAAAAGACATACAATATCTCTTTTCAAAGCCCAAGAGCCACCACAGCAAACAAAATCTTTTCTAGTCAGTAGGACAGCATGTTTGATAAAATACTGTACAAGTTTGGGTAGCACAACCTGGACCAGTATGATGGGGAAAAAAAAATAGGTAAGGGCATGCTATGGGAGTCTAACTGGGACGGAAGCAAGGGAACTGAAGTGTGGACTATATTTCAGAGCAAAGAAATTATTAAGAAGCTTCCTCAAGGCAGTACTAGATACTCATCACACGCATCATTTAAACATGAAGGGGAAAAAAGCACCAGTTAGGTATAGCGTAAGGGATATTTGTACACTTGCAAATAAGGAAGCGCTCTGATTGACAATGTAGAACAGCACAAAGCCTTGCTTCATTACACCCACGAGACCAAGAAAGGTTGTCTCTTATCTGCTTTGGATTTTCAAGGCAGAAGCTACCCCAACACTGCAGATAAGTATGGAAGTACCTTTTTCTGACACTTATTTGCTATCTTCAGTCTCCCAAGATTTTATAGCAAAACAATTAATAAATCCATGTGTTTTCATGAATTTTTATTGGGGGTTTCATAAAACAATTCTGACAACTTTTCAGTTATTCTAACTTGGGGATAATAGGAAAAATATTTTTTTTTCAAAGTTTACTGGATGTCAACATTGTTACAGATTCTCTCTGCACTGCCCAAGTTTCTCATTTATGGTATTGATACGACTTTCACCTTCAACATCTCCTCTCCTTCCTTCTCCCATCCTGAATCTTTGGACAACAGTCTGGTTTGAAATGGTAGATGAACATTATAACATCATAACTTCCTGAAACAAAAAACAGTGTACCAAGAGATAAAGTTTTTTATGCTTATTTAAGTATATTCGAACATGCTCTAATACCTGTCACAACATGACTGCTCAGCTGTATGACAAGTACAATCAATACGGTTTCCAGATGTATTTCTTAACAGAAGGAGAAAAAACTCCCTGAAGATCCTGATCATTAGATAACTGTGCTAAAAGCCCCCTTATGTATATACACACATGCAAAACGCAAGTAGCAGCAAACACTGCTTACTTCCATACCTTCTATTTCTTCCTCCCTCTTTTTTAAATTTTATTTTCAGTGGTAGCCTTAGAAACTCAGACACCAAGCTCATCCTATAAGAACTGACTAATCAAATAAGAAAAATGCACATTAAAAGATGATCAAGCAATTATTATTTGTTTTCCTGGAAACCACAACAAAATAACCCAGAACACACACCACCACACATACTTCAGGTAAACCTTAAAAGAATTTAAATCGACAAATGGTTGTTCTGTGCCACTTTTTAATTTTTTTTTTTTTAGTGTTAATTACAAGCAAACCACAACACAAGTTATTTCAGTAGTGAAACTGAAATGTTTAATTTCCAAAAAAAAAACCTCAAACCAAAAATCAACAGCAATGTATGCTTTTCAGTTTGTTTTTTTACTGACTGCAACAGGCAGGCAGTCTCAAAGCGTTTCTTTAACAAAGTGACTTTTCACACACAGGATATACCTGGCTATAACAATCAACACTAATACACCAATTTATTCCAAAGATATAATAAGACTTATCAATCAACTCTGATATTAGTATCCCTAAAATAGGTATTGTCTTACAGCAGCACATCTTCACTGCTCATGCTCAGAGGAACAAGACTGCTCGGCATGCAGCCATTTCTAAAATTGTATTGAAAGAAATGCTTGAAAGAAAGCATGGTATACTACATGTTGGAGGAGTTATACTGCCAAAAGGAAGTGTGTCCACTAGCTCCACAAGCCAGCAACATAGTTTTTCCACCCCATTTCTTTCATCAGGACTGTTATATTACTGTATAACCTAGGTGAGTCACTGAAAATGGACCCCACTGTGCTAAGCACTCTACATACATACAGAGAACTCAAAGTCCCTGTAGTGCCATTAGCTAAACCCTGGAAAAGGAACCAAGACCAAAAAGGAGTAGGCAACTCCTGGCCATAAAATCCAATCAGTGGCAAAGTTAGGAGCAAAGCTCCAAACTCCTAATTCCCAGCTCAGGATTTAATTAATCTCAACTACAAAGTCTTTCAGCTTGTTTTTACAATGTAAACAACAACAAGAGTCAAGAACACCGACGTGGCCTGAAACCCCATTGTTCAGCATTCCAAATGCTCAAGAATCTAACTGAAATCAAGGTGACCAGGAACCATGACTATTTAAACCAGGATACAGCTGGCATTTGTTTCTAAACAGCAAATGCTTTTCTAGAGTGAACTTCTCATTTAAGCATCCATTTTGTGATTAAGGAGCACAAAAAAAGAAAAAGACCATCCCCAGCAAAACTACTTGTCATTCTACATTAACTGCCAGTGCCTGATAACCCATGAGAGAAAAGACAGAAAAAATTTAAATATTTTAATGCGTACTTTACTTTCTTGAAGGCTACCAAGCTTCAACCAAATTTAACACAGATCTCCTTTAGGAGAGGAACTTAATGCCTTTTAATGAAAAGCATTTGAGGTTTTTTTCTTTGAAGTTTTTGGTTGTTTTTTTGTGTTTTTTTTTTTTTTAAGTGTGTGACTTCTTTTTTGGTTTTTGCTTTTGTAATGTGATAGAAATTCTAATCATACAAACATTATGGCATAGGAATAATTTCATACATTTGTTATTCTGCCAAACCCTCCCACATAGTTTTGATCCAAATGCAGCCAATGAACACACTTGTGTGCACTCTGAAGAAGTCACAGATTCAGTTTGGCTCACACCTTTAAGTAGGGTCAAATACTGGTGGGGAGGGGGACAAGAGAAGGTGCTCAGCTTCCATTTACCTACCTTCAAGTCTCCTAAACCACTGAGCTTCAAAGGAAAGATATGATTCCTTCTGCTAAGCAACCCAAATATTTGCCCATCCCCTCCTGAACATGGGCAGTCATGCCATGCAGAGGTACTTACTCTGAGATCTGACAGTCATGAAAAGGAAGAATTCGCAGTCATACAGGCCATCTCCTGGAGTCAATAAAACTCAGCATGACTGCATGGCTTGGGGTGTGCTATTTGCAGTGTTCCTCAGTGCTGAGAATCTTTGCAATTAGAGAATTAGCAAAGAACTGTATTAATATAAAAGTAATAAAGTTCCAAAAGACTGGAAATGTGCAGAACTGTTAAAGTGTGTGTGAGGAGGCCAGAATACAGGGGAGAAAAACTTGATGGAAAGAAGTCTAGATTTCAGTGTTATCTACCTGCTTAAGGAAAAAAAAAAAAAAGAAGCCTTTAATTATTTAACAGTAAGCATTTACTTTGCCCAACAGAAATCAGTGCCTGAAACTGTGAAGAGACAGGGCTCAGAGAGGATGAGGGCAATCCCAGGGTTGGTTGGTTTTATTGTTTTGCTTTAGGTTTTTTTTAACACAGTGAATCTGGATGCCTTGAAATCTGCTCAGGGACTTGCAAGGAGAGAGTAAGATATTCTTATATGAAAGTCACGTTATTATAACAATCCCTGGAAAAAATACCCTCAGATCATTCAGCACCTTTTGAACTGAAGTTTATGGCTGCATTGTCAAAGGCAAACAGATAAAAATAAGAACCACCTCACAACAGTTTTTACATTATTCCATGGAAAATTAGTCATTATATTGCAGTATTGTTTTAGACATGTATGCCATGGAATGACAACTGCAGGGAACTTAATTGTGTCAATATTTACCTCAAAGCCACTTAGCAAGTTGCATTTGTTCTGAAGAAAGAAAACAGCTAATATTTTGGAAGCAGTATGAGCTTCAAGGAGCAGAGGAATTTTTTCCCCCCACACACAGCCCCCC